TTAGTTTACCTGCAGTTCATGCAGTGACATGCGCTGACGTGGGGGCGCTAATACATCCTTAATTTGGAGTAGAAATATACGTCTCCTCCCGTTGGAATTATCTAAATTGATGCATTAAAAAAATGTATCACTGTTGCAAATATTCATGAGATTTATACTGGGGCACAGCTCATTTATACTGGGGCACGTGCCCCAGTAAATGGGGTCTGGCGACGCCGATGGGTCAATCTATTAACACACTTGCCTTTGCAATGTGAAGCACCTGATAATTTCTCTTTTATACAAAAGACCATCTAATAATCGCTTGATGTCATAGTTCTACAGTAGGAGGTAAAAAATAAGAAAAACATGGTGTAACTGTTGTAACCCTGTGGCCAGTTCCTGAGAGAAGAAGGTGTGGTGTCAGAGGCAGAGAGGTATAAAAGAGAAGGAGGACAGTTCAGTAGAAGAAAAAGCTCAAGAGGAGGAGAGACATGTGAAAGAACTATCTGCAAAAGGAGAAAGAAGATTTTCAAGTTTAAAATAAAAAATCAGAAGCTCTGTACCAAGGGTTCATTTTTCAAAGAAGGTAAGAATAAATTAATCTACTTGTTTTATTAATGGATGGGATATTTAGATTAAACTGTGCAGAGAAGTTAGATTATCAAGATCTGGAAATGAAAGATTGTATTAAATCTAAATGAACTATTTACAGGCTCAGCTTCCATCCTTTTTATGATTTGAACCATGTACAGTTTACTCAACTATTGTTAGAACATTTGTGTTGCGGTTTCTTTATTCTCACCTTTTTGCTTCACATTAACACTTTTTAAAATATTCACTGTAAAATATTAGGCATAAATAACCGAGAACACTGTCATGTTCAGCTTTTTTTTTTTTTCAGTTTTTAAGTTGGACCTTATGTTTGTGCGTGGGTGTTTGGGTTGTGAGGCCAGAGTTTCATCAGATATGTTTGAGTGTTCCCCTGACAAATGCTGATGGCGAACACAGATGTGTAATCTGAGAGCAGAGCTCTGTCCATCCAGGTTTTTGTTCTTTTAAAACCTCAAAGAAACTTACAGCATGTACTTACTGCAACATTTTGTTTTAACAGCACTTATCAAGTATTCTTATACACATTTGAAAGTTAACCACCAGTCCCAGGTTTCCATGCCATTTATGAGCTGTTTCACTGTTTTATTGGGATGTACAGTATGTGCAAAACATTCATGGCATGGAACATATTTTAACTTAATCATTTCACCAGGTGCCTTTGCTGCTTTTCTCTTGGACTTGCTGTAGAGAAACACATACCAGAGAAAGGTCCAGTGTGGAGGCAGAGTGTGAAAATGTCACAGAGGCCTCTTCTCATCTTCCTGGGAATCACCGCAGCCAGTCTTCTAACAGTTCAAGGTGGGACTTGTAAAAATTCATGTTATTTCATGTTTTCTATTCATGCATTTTAATTACATAGACAGTACTATGCAATTGTTATGAAGTGACCTTTTTTATTTGAAAGCATGTAGAAGGATTTTTCCTTTCGTTTGCATTATTGAATCATCAGTCTTTTTTTTTACTTTAGACTTTGGTTGCTTTGGCAGTCATTTTCTGTCTAGCCTTGGAATGTGAATGTGATATGGTGGAAGCATCAGAATAACAAATAGGAAGCATGAGGTCCAAAGAACTGCATTTATAGCCGATATGGAATATCAAATACTAAGGGATTTTACAGACACAAACATGCTTAATAGACAGAGTGCCATACTGTACAGCAGGAGTTCAGTAATCCTATACAAAATGGTTTCTGTCGTGGTCATTTCTCATGTGTTCATCCTAAATCAATTCTTAGCTGAGAGTAAAGTGGAAATCCGATGTCTCCTCCCAAAATAAACAAAAATAAACTTCATTCATTTAATCCAGCTAAAGGGTAAAATGTAAAACGATTAGGTATGAACAGATTTTGCAGAGCAATGTAAGGTTAAGAACACTTATTTGAATATTATAAAGTATTTGTAGTCTCTTTAAACAAAACTGACCCATAACCTGTTTATCAGTACATATTCAGAAGGATAAAATCCCTACCCCATGGAAGATCTCTCATTTGATATATATATATGTGTGTGTGTGTGTGTGTGTGTGTGTGTGTGTGTGTGTGTGTGTGTATTTCTTTAACAATAATGTCAAGTCAGTTAAGATTAAAAGCCTGCATTGCAGATCTCCATCTAAATAAAGTCTTCAAAGCAATTGAGAATTAACGTTAAGACTGGAGTTAACTGATGAAAAATATCTAACTTTATCGTTAATCACTTGTTTTCCTTTGGAATTATCTCTAGTTGAGTTTCTTTTGATCCATAATTTTTAACCATCCAAACCACCAGCGATCAAACTGATAAAAGAAGGTATGTTAGAAGTGGCTGATTGTATTTTCTGTCACGACTCAGAACAGAGGGCCCCAGTATTTAGTAAGACAGACAGTAAAATAACTTAAAATCATTTATTTTAGAGAGGATCTGCAGTAGAAGCAGCTAGGATGTCTAAGACAGGAACCTCTACAGGAGAGAAACACTGGTTAGTGTAAACAATAATCTGACGGAGGATGATTATGAACACGTGAGTCACTAACCTAGTTTTATAGTTCAGTTTGTGCCAGCGAACAAGGTTGATTCCAGCCGATCGGCTGACAGAAAGTTCCAGACACTGAAGCCTTGAACTGGCAGGAGGTCAGACCCAAGCAGACAAAAGAAGGCAGGATAATCCAGGTCCAGGTCAGGAGGCAGATTCAGCTTCTGTCCACAAGAAGTGTCCAGCAGGTGTCCGAAGACAGGTCAGGCAAACGGATCAGAACAGGGACAGGCTGAATCAGAGGTTCAATAGCAAAACGGGTCAGGATCAGACAATCAGAACAAAAACAGTTACACTCAAAAACTCTCACACCAAAGGCTCAAGAATAATCTGGTACTGATGGCTGGGAACAAGCAGCTTAAATAGAGGCAGGAGCATGTGGATCAGATTAACAGTAATGAGAAATCAGACAGAGTTAAACACGTGAATGAAATAAACAATTCGGCCAGTCATCAGCGCCAAAATCATGACAATTTTTGAGCCACGTTCTTTTGTCTCATGCCTTAAGACATGTCTAATTTAAACAATTGATCAGCTTACCTTTATTTTTATGCAATTATCTGTAATAATATGTTGCTTTTGAAACAGTTTACGCATGTTTGCTATACCTCCATTACAGAAAGGCATTAATCACTCAAACTCAAAAGCATTTTTTATAAATTACAGGAACATGGAGAGGAGAGTCTCTCCATCACTCTGATGGTAAGTAATACAAATAAAACTAAGGCTGAAGTTTTAGCCTATATCCTTTTCTGTGGTATAGTCTGTGAAGATAAATGCCTATCTTTTTTCTGTTTATTCCACATGTCCAGACAACTATGAGTGGACCACATGGTTCAATGTTGACCACCCAGGAGGTCGAGGAGACTACGAGCAGCTGGATGCCATTCGCTTCTACTATCGCACCAGAGTATGTGAGACTCCGCGAGCAATTGAAGCTAGAACCACGGAATGGGTCCCAGCCCGTGAAACCGGGGAGAGGATACATGCCGACCCAACAATAGGATTCTGGTGTCTCAATGAAGAGCAAAGTCCTGGACGCAACTGCTCAAACTATGCAGTTCGTTTTCTATGTCCAAAAGGTTTGGACCCTTGAAATTAAAGATTTTCTATAATAATAGTTTATTGTTTTGTGGGGTTTTTTGCTGTGTTTTTATTTACCTGTAATGCACTTTAAAATAATATCTTATCTCTTTAGAAGATCTGTCACAATAACCATTTAATTTTATTTTACCAGAAAGAAGTGTGAACATTCAGGGAACCTGGGGTCTGTGGTCAAACTGGAGCCCATGTCCTGCTCTCTGTGGTCAAGTTGGTGTGCAACTTCGCTATCGAAGCTGCCAGTCTCATTCAGTTCCTTGCAATGGGCCTAAAATAGAAGGGAAACCATGCAATGGGCCTGAGTGCATGAAGACAGGTGGGTAAAGTTTAAATGAACTTTACAGTTGGACACAAACTAAGGCAAAAGTTCCCTAATGAGAGTTTTCTGTTTTCTAGATTGTTATCTGCAGTGTGTGATGGGGAGAGTAAATGCTGACTGTGACGCTTGCATGTGTGAAGAGCACACCCTTTTGGGTTCTGTGCGAGGTGCAGGTGGTCTTATTGCTGAGGGGGCAGCCATTCTTCGCTCAGGCAAACTCCTTACCCTCACAGACCACAACGGACATTTCCGAATCCCTGGAATCTGCCCCGATGGTAACACAACCTTGACAATCAGACTGCTGGGGCATGCAACTCTTGATGTTGTTGTGCCCATCACCAGTGAGCGGACCTCGGTTCTAAGTGTGCAGCTTAAAAGAGCAGGTATGAATTGTGTCTAAACCGAGATGGAAACACATCCTAAACTGCATTACAGTACAGCTTTTTTACTTATGATTACCTACATTATTCCTTGTTGCTAGATCACAGAATATAAAAAAAAGAATGAGGCTCACCTGTCGATGTATTTTAATATAACACCTCAAACCTAATGTGCCCTTTTTGTCATGTGGGGAAAAAATCTTACAATATCGGCAAAGATACTGGGAACAAAATTGTGGATCATCACAAGTATGGTTCATCCTTCAGAAAAATTTTTAGGCCTAAATTTGTCATGTCCATCTTTTGAAAATAGGATAGGAATGTATAATGTAGATATATAAATGTTACGGTGACTGTAAAGCTATCTTGACACTCAGAAAGCCATATATTAATAAGTAATAATGACGAATGAAAGGCCAAGGCAAGGGCGTTGTGAAGATCTGGCTATCAAGAGTTTCAATGTCCATAAAAAATAATTTAACAAGATAGGAACTGTAAAAGCACACAAGAAAGGTTGCAAAAAAATGTAGAAATAATAAACTAATTCTATTTGACTGTTTTGATAGATAAGCTTCATGTTGTGAGCAACCCTGAGAGTAAAGCCAGAAGAGTGGGACAAAGTGTTGCCTTCTGCTGCAAAGTAACTGGAACGCCGCCACCAGACAAATACCAATGGTGAGATCTCAACTCACACACATAATGTCAGTTTTTAAGTTCCTTCTTTGAGTTAATGACAGACATTTTAACTTTTGGAGTAGTAGGGGAGACTGGGGAGACTCGAGAGATAGATGCAACAAGAGACAACTGCAACAAGTCTTTTTTCCCTAATCAGAAGCATGCTATTTTGATGATAGTAATACTGCATGTGCTCAGATGGACCAATCCCCTAACCAGTAGATCAGAAGACAAATCGAAGTTCATTTAATTGGAAAAGAAAATGCATTCTGTTTATATGTATGTAGAGAGTTCAAAGTTACAGACAAGGTTTACAAACCATAAAAAATTCTCAGAATAATACTTATTGAGACAAAAAAAAGTTGATTTGGAAAATCAATGGATTTATGACCAATTGCAAATGTCTTAAAGGAGTATTGCAAAAGTCCCAGGAATGGGAAACATTGCAACAACTGACTTTTTTTAATGAATATGGTGAAAAAAGTATGTCAGATTAAATAATTTAAATTCTAAGAGCAACTAGCAATCAGATGAAAGTTTTATGTAACCATAAATGGTATGTGCAGCCCTTAATACCTTCTTAAGAAAAAAAGTTGCAACTGCCCCCAGGTTCCCCTACTTTTATGTAAATGCATCTAAGTAAATATTTTAATAGGTGTAGCCACTTACAAAAAGATTATAGCTATAAGTAAAGGGATTATATGTGAAACAACAACCCATCTGAAACTTAATGTTCACACAATAACTCAGGCTACATACTAACTACTGTAAGCTCACTGCTTATGTCTAAGCAATAAGTTTCTAAAAGAAAAAACTCCCTCAATAACTGAATAGTAATATCTTTAATACACTAAAGTTAAACCTTTAAAAAATGTTTTCCTGCTATTTTCCTATGTGTGTGAGCCAACAGGTTTCATAACAACAGTCTCATGGAGATGCAATACGAAAGCACGCTTGTTCTGAAAGATTTACGTCCAGATCAAGCAGGAGAGTACTACTGCAGGGCAAGTGGTCCGTCTGGTGCAGTTAAAACCAAACCAGCATCTCTAAAAATTATAGGTGTGTTCCCAGCAAATTAACTGAACATACATCAGCAGTGTAAGTGTAAATTTGAAATGTTTATTTGTACATTTTCAATGCAGGTGGAGACGAGCATTCATGCAACCCCAAGCCCGAATCTCATCTCATTCGTCTTCCACATGACTGCTATCAAAACAGCACAAACTCCTTCTACTACGATGTTGGCAAATGCCCCTCAAATACATGTGCTGGACAGCTGGATAATGTCATCAGGTGCAAAGACAACGTAGCGTACTGCTGTGGTGTGGCAAAGATGGAAGAGAGGCAGCTGACATGTCAAGGCTACCAGCTGCCCACCATGGTGGTGACAGAATGCGGCTGTCAGAAATGTGTGGACACCAAGGCTGTTGTGTATGGCCGTGCCATTGCAGCAGACAATGGTGAGCCAATGAGATTTGGCCACATCTATATGAACGGAGTCAGGATTGGCCGTACTGGCTACAAAGGCACCTTTACTGTCCAGGTTCCCCCAGACACTGAAAGACTAGTGATGACGTTTGTTGACAACATGCAGAAATTTGTTAACACTACAAAGGTGCTCCAATTTAAAACTAAGGGGGGAGCTGTATACCATGAAATCAAACTTTTACGGAAGAAAGCTCCTGTGACCATTATTTCCTCAGAAACTAATACTTTTGATCTAGGAGAGGTAGATGGCCAAGAGGCAATGGTCCAAATCCAGATTCCCCCTAATTCATTCTATAAGCAGAACGGAGAAGTCTTTACTGGGAACGTCAATGCAAGTATTACATTCTTAGACCCGAGAGATGTCTCTACTGCTGCTGCTGCTTCAAGTGACCTTAATTTTATAGGAAGTGAGGGTGATGTACTTCCACTGAGAACCTATGGCATGTTTTCTGTTGACTTTAGAGGTGAAGAAAATAATGAACCTCTAAATGCAGGTGAAGTGAAGGTTTTTCTGGACTCAGCTCAGGTAAAGATGTCAGAGCACCTCAGCAACATGAGGCTGTGGTCGCTGAATCCTGAAACTGGCCTGTGGGAAGAGGAGGGAAGTCTCCAGCTGGAAAAGAAAAAGAGAAGCAAAAGGGAGGAGAGAACATTTTTGATCGGAAACATGGAAATCAGAGAAAGGCGTCTGTTTAACCTGGATGTTCCTGAAAACCGCAGGTGTTATGTAAAAGTGAGAGCTTTCCGCAGCGAGCGTTTCATGCCTAGTGAGCAGGTAGAAGGAGTTGTGGTGAGTCTCATAAACATGGAACCAGTAGCTGGCTTCTCCTCGAATCCACGTGCCTGGGGCCGTTTTGATAGCGTTGTTACTGGCCCAAATGGGGCTTGTCTTCCAGCCTTTTGTGACGAACAAAAACCTGATGCTTATTCTGCATATGTAATGGCCAACCTCGGGGGTGAGGAGCTGGAGGCTGTGTCCTCTTCTCCTAAACTTAATCCTGGCCTCATTGGAGTACCCCAGCCTTACCTGACAAAACTCAACTACAGGCGGACTGATCATGAAGACCCTAGAGTAAAGAAGACAGCATTTAGTATCAACGTGGCAAAACCAAGTTCTAATGCTGCCGAGGAATCCAATGGACCAGTGTATGCATTTGAAAAACTAAAAGAATGTGAGGAAGCCCCATTCAGTGCAGCTCATTTCAGGTTTTCAAGAGTTGAAGGAGACCGTTATGATTACAACACTGTGCCGTTTAATGAAGACGACCCAATGAGCTGGACGCAAGACTACCTGAGCTGGTGGCCCAAGCCCATGGAATACCGCGCCTGTTACATCAAGGTTAAAATAAACAGTCCACATGAAATCAATGTAAGGTCTCGTAACATGGGTGGCACTCATCCAAAAACTGTGGGCCAGCTGTACGGTCTCAGAGACACTCGCAGCATTCGTGATATGGAACAGGCAAATGTTTCAACCGTGTGTCTGGAGTTTAAGTGCAGTGGCATGCTGTATGATCAGGAGCGTGTGGATCGTACTCTGGTGAAGGTGATCCCTCAAGGTAGTTGTAAGAGGGACCATGTGAACTCAATGCTTCAGGATTATTTGGTGAACCACCTACCTCTAGCAGTCAACAATGACACCAATGAGTTTACCATGTTGGCACCTCTAGACTCTCTGGGCCACAACTATGGAATCTACACAGAGACGGAACAGGATCCTCGTACAGCGAAAGAGATTGCACTTGGGCGCTGCTTTGATGGCACTTCTGATGGTACATCTCGGGTCATGAAAACTAATGAGGGCGTGGCGCTAACTTTTACTTGTGGGGACCGTGAAGTGACACGCCAGAGTGTCTTTCAAGCTATGCAGAACTCTCAAAGTCAGATAGTTACAAGTGTTGCCAGAGGAGACAACAGGAAAACCAAACGTCGACAGAGAGCCAACTTATCCCGCAGGAGCAGTAAACGTAGCCCCAGAAATCCTAAACGAGGGTCTTAACAAGGTAGAAGATAAGTGACTCTACCCATAGACCAGGAAAAACAGAGCGAGAAAGAGGTTTGGAAATAAATCACACTGAAGCAGTTTTTGACATTAATAATATACCAAAATATATTCAAGCTGCAGTTGTATTTCATAATAGAAATAGTCAGACTTCAGTTTCTTAGCTCTCAGCATTAATGCATCGACATCCAAATTGGACTAGTGAATTAGGGTTAAAGCTTTTTAATTATGTATGCACCGGTACCCTCTTTCTCAGGGGTTCAAATGTAACTGAAAAAAATTGCATAAAGGAAATAAACTTGATTTTTTTTATGAACTGCCTGAAGTCTGAAACATTTCCCCAAATAATGTATTTATATTCCTCTGGACGGTTTTTCAACACTTTATTGTATGTGGAATTTTTTTATATCAGTTGATGAAAGATTCAACAGGCAGTCTTTTTTTTCAAACCTTTTTAGTATCTGGGTTGTTTTTGCTGATTTTTTCCTATTCCTTACATACAATCAAGATTTATGCGTCACCATTCCTTACCTAAGAAAACAACTCAAGGACCTGCCTGACTTGGTGCACTCTCTTGAGAGCAGAGGGTTCTCATTATCCGGGAGATGTTGCGCAAAGCAAAGCCTACAGCCTCCGCTCCGACTTCCTTGGAGCTCAAGGAGAGCATGCGCTATATTATTATTAAATTCAGGAGCAAAACATGCGGAAATGAGCACTTAATTTAATTCCCCACCAACATCCAGCCAGCGTATGTTCAGTTTCTGGCCAAATATTTTCATTTTGTTGTGGATTTTTGTAACAGGGATAACTAGGATCATACATGGTTTGTATGAACTATGTTTTATCTCTGCATTAAAAGTCAGCAATTCTTCACCCATGCCTGAGATGAGAAGTTTGATGATTTGATGAAACTTTTAAGCCTCTTAGTATAAAATAAATGTTTTGATGATCGAGATGAGAAATCTGCTTCCTGGTATGTTGAAGTACCAGTTTGTAATAGTTTGCATCCAATCATTTAAACAAACGATCTTATTTTTTGGGAATATATAAGCTCCCGACTGAGCGTGGAATGGCTGGAGAATGGTTTTGTCGTCATTCAAACCCAGGTTAAAAGCCTTTCAGGTCAGCTTGAATCCCATTGCTCTCATTAAGCCATGAAAAAGAAAACAAAATAACAGTCAGATCAGGTGTTTTATGAGATATGTAAGTCAGGAAATTGTCCATGTATCAGACTGAATGATTGTTTCTACTTAAAAAAAAAAAAAAAACATTAAATTTTAAAATTGAAATAAATGTCTCGTATTTTTTTTATATTTTTCTATTCAAAAATTCATCGTATAACATGGATGCATAAAAACTAATTTAATTTCAGTGTTAAATTATGTTTTAAGTATGATATCATAATTAAAAGTATCCGGACCTTTACTGGTTGTTGATTTTCTGTATTCGGACCCCGCTGATTTTTTATTGGTTACCACTGATCTATGTCATTCGCAATGTTGAGATGTTTGCCATCTAAAAAGTGCATGTCTCAAAGATTTTACCGTCTAGTTCATAAAAAGGTTTTAGCTGAGATTATTTTAGGCACATATAAGTCAGTGGACATTTGTGTAGTTTCTCAGTCAGCCAAGTTTGTACATGAAAGAAGTTTGCCACAACCTTGGAAAATAACTAAGGGAAATGTATGTTGTAGACATTCTCAGTGAGCCAGAAGATGATGGCTTGAATAAAAAGATAAAACATAAACTTTCAGGACAATACAGCGGTTATCAAAAGGTGTTTTTTTTTTTTTTTAGTTTTGAAAAACTGATGCAACATTACTATGCCTTAGAGCAGGCATCCCCAACCACAGTCCTCAAGGCCTGCTGTCTTGCAGGTTTTAGAGGTTTCCTTGCTCCAGCACAGCTGATTTTAATTGAAAGGTGATTAATAGGCGTTTGGTCTACTGCAATCATTATAATCAGCTGTGCTACAGCAGGGAAACCTCTGAAACTTGCAGGACAGCGGGCTTCAAGGACCGAGGCTGGGGATGCCTACCTTAAGAGCACATTCTGATGTAATATATGAATCAAACCATACCAATTAATGCAGGTTTAAACACAACTTAAAAGTTTCAAAAGGGAAAAATTTAGATGAACAAACTTGTGTCATGTAATAATTAACAGCTCAGGAAAAGCTCTAGGTAATCAAGATTGAAATACACACCCTAATAGCTAGGGATTCAAGGATTGGGTGGTTTTTGTAATTGCATATAAGCCAGCCTTTCTTCCTGATTGGGCGTACCGGTAATAAGGAAAATCCAAGTAGTTTTGCATCCCTCCATGTGAACTTGTGTGTGACTGGTTACTTGTTTTGCATTTTTATTTCATGGCTAATTGGCCCAAGGGTACCCTGGGTATGAACTGGCTTTTCAAGTACCAGTCTTGAATAACCATGCTTTTTTTCATAAAACTGTTACATCATGCAAAACTGCAGTACAGTAACATTACAATATTCTTGAGTTTATTTTAATTCAAGTGTTGAACAATTGACATTAGTTTCCAGGTTCCATTTGTGTGAACTTAAGAAGGATCAACAAACAATTTGATCTCTTGACCAGTATTTTATTAAATTAGATGCTTAAAAAACAGATGTCATATCTTCAAAATTGCATGTATCGAATTGTCTGTGTAAGATTGGAACTGGTCATTAGCTAGAAAAGAAAAGGAGAAAGATGCCCCTCTCAACTAACTGAAGCCCATATGAAGACATGTGGGGGGTGGAGCCCATTTGCCTCCGCTCCTCATCACACTTGATACAAGCCTGCAGAAGCAACAATGCAACAGACCAGTTGCAGCAAGATACTTCACTTGCCTGATCTGTAGATCTTTTCTTTTTTTGCATTAGTAAAACTCAAATTAGTAAGTTATATTTCTGTCATGCAAAAGAAAATACCTTTAAGCATCATTTACTCCATACTTTCAAGGATATTCCAGATGTATTAAGAGAATGGCTGTGAGGTTTTATAGTCACATTTATTATACTCTATCCCTTTTATCTTACATTGAATGTCATGTGCGCTCTGTAAAAGTACATCTACTCGTTATGCCTCTCTCAAATACCTCTATGTAAATGTTCCAGAGATAAAGATTAATAAACTGAATAATTGCTATGCATTTGGCAACCCAAGAAACAACAATATAAATGTTTTCCTGTAAAAGATCTCACCACACTTCAGTGTGATCTATAATACATGACATTCTGGTTGAGGAATTTGCATAGAACCTTATTTCTATGTCACTTCATGTACAACTGCCATGTGTCAATTTAACAGGAGCAATGTTTAATTTAAAAAGAGCCCTGCAAAATTCAGACAGCAGCAGTTACAGATGTATTCTTCATTGAAGCTGGGTCACACAACAGATTTGTGTGCATATCGAGGCTGAATGAGACAGAAAAGGCCATTCTGTATGTTAAGGGCGCTGAGATTGGATGCTCCCAAGAATAGTCCATCCGGTAAATGAAGCAAAATGAAAAGGGGCGGCACAGAGTTCAGATTTCCCAGGATGGCACTGGACAGCATGGGAAGGTACAGCTGTACTTCAGAGGGTTAGGAAGAAGGGGGGGAAAGCAGTAATAGAGCCTATGTCACATGAAGTCCTCGTAGTCTTGGGCGTAACCTCCATCAAACTCTGCATAGTCAAGTTCGTCTCTCATCTGTGCTTTCAGTCCACCTCCGGGTACTACACCTTTCTTCTTTTTCTTTCCTTTGTTTTGCTGAAAAATAAAATATAAATCACTAAATGTCTACAGAATATCACCTGATTAGAGCATTTTGTGTCAATTA